AACCATCTTGGCCACTGTCAAGTTCCAACCCAAAACAGAAGCCAAGCAGCTTTTCCCTTTGAAAGTTAGTGCAGTCAGGTAGGAGCCATCAGGAAGACAATGGTCCTTACACCACAGCTCACTGACGACATAGTGCTCAGAAGACCCTCCACCTAACCGTAGTAGAGGATCTTAGAATTTGAAATCAAAAGGGCCAAAGTATGACATCACCCACAGTAGGTCACAGCCTCAGCACTGCTGCTCCGAGGCCAGAGGCTGGGAGCACTACAGGGCATTTAATTTCTGAGGGTAGGAAGTTAAGCTGGTGTCACTGCTGAAGACACAGCAGTGTGGATTTTGAGCACAAAAATGTTTATTCTCATCAACTTCTACTTTTTGATTCCTTTGGTGGACAATCTTTCATTTACTTAGTATTTGACTTTTTACTCCTCCACCATTCTAAGATTCCATTCACACCTAGAAGTCAGATATTCAGATACTGTGATTGCCAGTCTTATATACAAAGGCTACCCTTTCCTTACAGGACTATTTCCCCCCCCTTCAGTAAGTCACAGGGACCGTAGGCTGCCACAGACAACTCTGAGAAGTTTAAGTGTTCCTTAAGAAGCATACCTTCAGAAATAGGGGAACATCTAAAGTTGTTTCTCCTCTTGTCATCTTATCAGGCAGTAGCACAGGTGGTCTTCAGTTCTTGATAATTTTGGATCCTCACAAGAACAAGCAAGATCTCTCTCCAAATCTGTGGAACTTCTGGCAAACAATCTTTCTTCATATGTGTAAAATAAAAGCTTTGGACTTTCCCATAACCAGCATGGCTCATAATGGGGCTGCATTTTTATAGATAATACATCTAGCAGTTGCTACAATAATTCAGTCTTATTTTTCGAATTAAAAACTATGAACTACATGAAACTCCCAGGAGAAAGTATTAATACAATTTCCAGTCTTGTCATAGTAAAAAAAGGCAAAACTACAGCAAAACACCTTGCAGTCAGCTCTGCCAAGGGGTGATCATATAAAGATCCCTTTATATAGAAAAAAAGGTTTTCAGCAGCCTTACAGCCTGTACATCAAATTAGCAGAAACTATGCTGAATTACTTTTCATTAGCAAAAACAACTTCTTAAGTTCAAGTAAATGAAGACAAGCCAATTCTGGCACCTAAGAGTACTTCTTCAAAAACATGTTTTTTAAAAAAAACCACTGTTCCCCCCCATTAAGGCATTGTTTTGGTTTTGGTTTTTTTTTTTGTGTGTGTGTGTGTGTATGGTGGTAAACATGCTCATCACTGTGATACTGTTTATAATAAATTACTACAAGATGTTACAAAGGAACTCCTGGTCCTGCTGTTAAACTTATTTTTATATTATGTGGTTTATAATCTGCGAAACAGGAAGAGGGGGGAGCATTAATTGCTACAAACCAAACCTCTCTGTTTGCAATAGCAAATAGGTAGCTTAAAATTCAGAATGAGAAGCTACATAATCCATCTATTTTCAGAAAATGTTTATTTTAAGAAACACTGAGGAATGATTAATCACTCTGAACTGTTTAACTTGAAGTCTAAATGATATTAAGAACTGCCACTCATTGTTTCAATATTGCACTTTTCTGATGGAGTGCAAGAAATTAAACTAAGACACTAAAGCAATATGCTTTATTTTCTGCTGCAGAAAATGACCTAACTACTAGACAGAGCTAACGCAGATAGTTTAAGTCCCAAACGTTTCTTTCAGGACTCTATCTGCAACATCTCTCATTCTGACCGAAAAAAACCAAGCAACTAAGGCTAGGGCAAATTATTTCCTATTTTGTCAAGGTAAGATGAAGTACACCACTTTAGTGGTAGTTGTATATTCCTCAAGGATGCCACAACTATTTAAAAATATCTTTACTTCTCAATCAATTTACCAATTTCAAATAAGGTCTAAGCATTTGTTTTATTTCAGTCCATTCATCTCTCTAGCTTCTTTCCACATATATAAAATAACAACTGAGCTTTATTTTAGGACAGATTTTAATCATTCTTCACTTGCAACCATAAAACTAATGCCATCATCATTCCAGGGACAATGTTCCTTCAGTTACTAAGAACTGCAATCACAGGGGAAAAGAAAAAACAGTGGGTTATTGGTCTGGTGAGAAGCCTGAAATACGAAGTGTAGCTCAGGGGTGCTGAAGGTAAAAGCACACAACAGGACTTTGAATTTTCACCTCTAACATTGTTCAAACAGTAAAGCTGGGCTAGCACTGGTGCCTTAACCGGGCTCCACTTACCACTGTTTTCATTAATGGGAGAGTCGAAAGCAACGTCAGCTTCAATGAGGACAAAAAAAAAAAGCTTATTTCAGCCCCCTTCTAATCCCACCCCCCAATGCATTTACCAACATAAATACTTCACATATGTTTACAGCCCATATAACGTTCACATTTGACATCTTTTTAAATGGAGATAGGTCATAATTGCCAAGCAGTATTCAAATACAAATGAAAATCTCATCAGGAAATTCCCAAGCAAGCTACTGGAAAGGCTCTCTATACTTCTCCTGTTTCTTATACTGGTCATCCTCAGACAGAATACTGAGCAAGGCAGACTTTGTCCCACTCAATACAGTCATTCTTCTGAGCATCAAACACCACTTTGTTCTCCAGAGCCTGCAGGAAGTTTGAGACAATGGCAGAGAAGTACTGTCTTCATAGCCCTGATAGCTCAACTGGACTATCAACTAAAAAGCCACATGATATTTCAAAGAAAATTGAATGAATCATTTTATTTTTACTTTTCCAGTTTATATCCTCCGAGGGAAACAGACAAGAGCAGACAAGCAAAAATGCTTGTAATACCAGTTCTAATAACAAAAAAAAAATACAGGGAACACAAATCCTAGGACACATACATATCATATAAAGGCCATCTACTCCACTCACCTGAAATTAGCCTTCATCTGTTAACGTAATTCATACCACAGACCATAACTCAAATTTTGTCCTCTGACCTGCAGGAAGGGGTGTGCAGAAATACTGACCCTGAATCAGGATTAAATACTCCCCGATATAGAGGATACCTTTCCTTGGGCTGTGTCTAACACTTTGCTCACTCTAAGTCCAGACTTGACTTTCAGGAGTCCCTTTCTCTACCGTTACTTAACTTCAGTGCCCATGTTTAATGGGCAAAACTCATACCCAAGCTTTCCATGGCAAGTTTAAACAATTAAGAGCTTGCTTGCACCAGAAGGCAGCAGTCCCAGAGCCAGCACGCAACACAGGTGCAGCTGAGGCAGCACAAATCTCTGCAGGACAGCGGCCTGACAGCACAGCTTATGCAGAAATTCCTGTTCACTGGGATCTGTTACTTCAAGCAGGCTTCACACCAGCAAATGCCCTCGGATAGCCGTGGGGGGTGCTGTGGCAAGATAACGGCTGCTAGCTTAGTTTCACTCACTTGCAACTCCTTCTAGATTACAGCCTCCACCGGCAAGACAAGTTCTTCAGCAACAGACAAAACCTCCCACCTTAACAGGGACCTCATAACTTAAATGGTAGCAAAGCATTCCTGCAGAGCTACTTTTGTATGTTCCTTGTGGTTGCAAGGTACTCTCGCTGTTAAGCCCACCAATCATTTCACTCAAAAAAAGGCTCTGCTTTTTTTGCCCAGTTACTAAGACTGATACATGGCAACATTCCAGAATAAAGTTTGTCTAACCACTGATTTCTTGGACCATAGCCCAACAGCCATGTGACACTTCTAAGTTTGACAGTAAAGATGGTTAATGCAAGATTTCACCAGGCTATTTAAAGCACAAAAAAAGCAAAGGCTTTCATGCTGTTTAGTGCACAATCTTAAGACAAAGCTTTAAATCTAGCAAGCTAGTTTAATGAAGTACTTCTGCAGAGAGAAGTCTCATGCCATGTATTCTAAATGTGTCACACAATAACTCCACATCTCCTTATCTCAATCACTTGTATAAAACAGACTCAGAAAAAAAATCATACCAGAATTAAATGCGCAAGTGGTTAGGAAATACACTGTCCTCCCTCCCACCAAGCAAAAAAGCCATTACAACGATTATTCTTTCCATCTTAAAATCAGTTATAAATCTTCCTACGCAATCTTCACTACTCCCATATTCCAAAATCACTGGTGTAGTGTCATGGTTAAAGCATTTGCTGATTTTTGTAAACAGACTTCCTGTATTACTGATACACATTTTTCATTGGTTACCCATCTTCTGCAGCCCTAAAGCATTAAGAGCATTCATGAAGATTTGCAGCAAAATAGCCAATATGCCTTATCACTGGCCACATCTACCTCTTTCTATGCCAGGGGAGGTACATCTTTTTCATGATTAAACACTGCTCCTGGAGAAGGCCTCCACCACCCGACAAGCACAGTAACATTATTCTCTGGCACCTTTTATCCAATACAGTCAATCCTACATCAGAATCCATCCCCGAGGAATGTTTTAGAACATAGAGAAGATTGATGAAGTACTTTGAGCACCCAAAGTGCCACCCACAATCCTCAAAAGCTTCCACATTTCCCATTAGCTTCAGCCCAAAGGATAAAAAGATGGTACCTTTATACTCCAAAACACAGGCCACAAACACACTCTTCTGACCCTTTAAGAGACTTTTGAATATCCAAGTACTTACCAAATATTGCTGCTGTATTACCCATTTCTGTGGTCTCTGCTATCTTTTCCTGCAGAAGACTGACCTAGCCACTACTGGCCACTTTTTGACTTACCATCCCAGTAGCTTCATTAGATGCCAGCAGCACCCGGACTCGCAGTGGGCAAAAGATGGAGACTGCTCCCTTCCCACTTCTGAAGTGCACAATCGCTGTAAGTCGGTGCTGTCCAGGAGCCACTCCAGCACAACCTGGGATATCACATCCAGTACACGCTGTACCAGCCAGTGCCACCTTGCCTTTGACACTCTCACAAAGTACAAGCTGTCCAGGAACACCGCAGTGCAACTACAGACCTGATGTGCAACAGCTACGTTTTTCACATCCTTGGCTTTATTCAAGAAAGAGCACGTACAAAACATGGCAATACCTACCCTTCTCAGTAACATGTTACCACAGAGAAATTCCGTTGAAAGCAAAGAAGGGAAAGCTGTGCTGTAGTAAATTTCTGCAGATTCTGATACATTCAATACTGATTTAGAGAGTCACTTGCTGAAAAGGAACACCCTTTAGCCAAAGCACCTGGTAGTGTTTATTAACCATAATCAAAACACTCAGTGACCCAATACAATCCTAAAGTTCACCAAGATCCGTAGTGTACTTAAATTTGAGATTCCTCATACTTTAGGTACTGCTACTGGTAGTGTTTTGCATTTCATGATGATACTGCTTAGACTGAAAATTGGGCTTTTCATTGAATACAAGCACATTCCACGAGCTGTAGGAATTCCTCCAATTCTAAAGGAAGAGAGCTGCTGGCATCCAATGCTGTAATTTTTGGCTGCAGACTATAGGGTAATTTTTCTGTATTCTGGTGCATTTAAGTGCTTCAGTAACTACAGCCTATCAGATTCATTTTAGGTGTCCTATCTTTCTCATGTTTCTTCCTTCCTAAAGCATTCCTGACAGGTGTGAGTCTTGCTGTAAGGCAGGCTGCATCTTATGCATGCAATGGTTTGTCTTTAAAATCCACGTTACTTATTGACCGATTTATGATCCCCCATGCCTCTGTGGCATAGTGCCAATTTGCTGAACACAGCAAGTAGGCTGTTACTGATACAGCCCTGTTGGCTTCCAAGGGACTGCTGAAAGCACAAGTTCCAATGCATATCCTCCCTTCTCCCACTAGTGACCTCTTTTCCCCACACAGCAAGTCCCATTACATTGCCACTGTAGTGCTCATGGGGCAGCCCCACTGTTGCAGTACTGGTCTTTCCACGCTGAAGTGGCAGTCCATAAACCCCCCAATTCCCCCCTCCCTCACCACACAGACAGCAATGCAAGCTTTAGACCTTGCCTTTTCTGTAACCATGACTTTCCTCATGACACCTGCACCTCTTTCTTACAAGAGTTTCACATTTATGCTTTCGCACCACCATCACCTCATCTGCTTCCTCCTATCTCCTGGAGGACACCACCCTCAAAAAGCAGACTCATTGGTTTGAATTTGTATGTCCATTTTGCTTTCTCCCCATCTCTACAGGGCCTAACTGGGAGTCCCATTGTTTTCAGTTATTCCCGATCTTCAGAATCATTCAAGTCTGGATACCCTTATGATATTTTTAAAGGGAAAATACTCTCTGGGGTTTTTCAATGTATCGAAGCTCAACATTCATTTCCCTAATATTGCTGCTATCCTTCCTACAGAGGGCAGCTCAGTGTTTTGGTTAAAGCGCTGTTTTAAATATGCAGAGACAGTGATTTTGATTCACAAGCAGTTTCTGAAAACAGTATCTGCTAAACAAAATCGCAGCAGCTGTTTCAGCAGGTTTTTAAAAGCATGGCATTTCACTCCAAGCCACAAAAACGCTTCAGGTGTTACACTTCCTTCCAGTTAGAGATCATCTACATTTGTCAGGCAGCACTGACAGTGTTCCAACTCAGCACTGGAAAAAGAAAACAAGGTCTAAGTAAAAAGGTTCATTTGAGGGAGATATTTCAATTAGCAAGTAAGCACACAACACTTTGTATACATTAAGGTGTTATCATTTCAGTAAAAACAACTTAAAACCCCCTAGATGGTGTACTACTTTTTAAGAAAGTGTAAAATACATCTTTTGGTCTCGTCTCAGATTCCGGATCCGTATTATGATTTTCAACAGGGAATTCAGGTTCGGGATAGGATCATCACAGATGAGACAAAAGCCAATACAGGAAACAAATTCTACGGGAAGTGTACTGGTTTTCTGTAGGGCTTCTGACTGCAATACAAAACCTGAAAATTCCCTAGTCCTTTGACATATTTCAGTAACATACACTTATTTAAAACTTTGCATGTAGGTTTGAAAGCTAACCAAGGTTAGGCACAGCTATCAGCACACACCATGCCTTGGGAAACAAGTGTTCTTAAATTCCAACTATGTACAGAATTAATTACTATACCAACTTACCATATCAATTGATCAACTACGTAATCAACAACTGTCATAATACAAAAAAATTCCCCAAACCGTAGGCAGTTACTTTTGACTTAAAACAAGAAAATGTTTAAAAGCTTTTCAGTTACATACCTGAATAAGCTAAAAGCATTTGTTCCTATATTTGACCATCTTCCTGTCAGAAAAAAAAAGAAGTTTTAGTTCATAAAAATTTTCTTCAATCACTCAAAATACAACTTGCCATCTATTTAGTCTCTCACACAGACCAAACTGCATGATTAAACATGTGCTGGATTAGTATCAGTACTCTGCAAGTTCTGTGAAAAAAGTGTAGGCATGCCACAGTAGTATATTTTACATCTCTTGCCCAGCTATTGCCCAACTTGGCTATCAACTATGATAGGCAACTAAGCGATAATTCCCTCTGTCCTACCAGAATCAAAAAGTTAATTTCTGAAAATTAGCTAATACCTGGTTCTCAGTTTCTACCAAAACAAACAAAAAAAAAAAAACACTACAGAAGCTAAAATCCACCAGCAAGCAAGCATTAAACAAAAAACTGCATCCAGACCACATTCTTCTACACAACTCTCCTGCAAGCAACAGGAAAACAGACTACCTCTGAACTGGAACTGAAAGTTCAAAAGAAGGCCAAGATAGACCATTAAATGTTTCACCCTGTTTTTTGTAATGCAGATACACAAGCCCCACTCCACTTCAAATATGCCATTTGTAATACAATGGTTTACAAGTCACCTCCTGCTTAAAAATGGGGTTGACAGTAATGCAGTTTTTAAAGCAGTCACTTAAAAATTATCATTAGTTATTTGAATCAGTTTTGCTGAGTTTCAGGGTATGAACAGACTATGAAACCTACCATCTTCAAACACTTCACCTGTTCTGGTGCAAGAGTAGTCTAAAGTCAAACAGATTCACATGTTTTTTCCATCAAGCAATCAATCAAGCTTGGGATAGGTTCTTCACTGATCAGACACACCAATGGTTTTAAGCATTACTCCCACATCAAGCTTTTCAATTATTCATTACATTTATTGGAATTCATACCTTCAAATCAGAAGCAGTGTTCAAGCATCCCTGCAAAGACATAAAATGCACCAATTAGTTGCACCAACAAGGCTTGCTACTTCCCACTAGCTCAGCCATGCAAGTCACTCACTCCACTTCCTACTTGTAATATTGCCTGTCTAAACAATGCAGCGTTTTATAGGTAGCACTGCTGCACAGGAAGTTTCACTCACACATCTGAACTTCACATACTGGGACAAAGCCTGTTCTTCAAAAGAAACTGCTGGTAGTTAGCAAGGTATTCAAAGGTACCTTTCTTTAATAAGGAGTGGAATAAAACTGCAGATGCTGTAGTAAGACAGGGAAATTAAAATTTGTCCTCACACCTTAGATTTTAACTTCTTAATTAAAAACAACCTGTGGATACTCAATCAGTGCAATTAAAGTAAATTTTATTGAAAAAGATTAAATTCAGATACTTAAGTAAAAATTAAGTTACTGGAGAAACCACTACCACTACTCTTGATGCACAGTAAGCATTCACAAGAATGCTTTTTGCTGTCCCAAGTATGCTATGCCCTTCTGAATTCTTTAGCTCTGGAGCTGAAACAGCTTTAATATAATTAATCACAACTAATCCACCAAATTCCAACTTTAATAAATAACATTACTTTTCCTAAATGCTTACATCTACATGAGCCCTAAGTTCACAGTCCTAAGAGGGTCAAAGCACAGACATAATCACTAGTTTTCAAACACCAGCAACACTTCATTACCAGGGCACTTTTAATGTCTGGCTAATACTTATTATTTATTATTTATCCACTATAAAACAGGATACCTCAAATTATAGGCATCTAACACTTCCCTCTCTCTCTGCTCATTAAAGATGCAAGCTTTTGCAAAAGCACATATCCATGTCAACATGGACCTGAGGTGATTTTAAATAATGCACCAACATCCTTATAACCTGGAGCATGGTGGCATCTAGCTGGTACATAGGGACAGCAATAAAATTAACACCAACCGGCATCGTGACTGAATGATTCAGTGGCTTTTGAAAGAATTTAAGCGGCAGCTTCTCAGTAGCCAGATCCGTATGAAGTTTCTCATCAGCATATCAGGTTTGGCAGTTTCATCATTATTCACCACTTAAATATCAGTGACTGGGAAGTGTAACGCAATTCATACACTCATATATTCCACAAAACAAGCTTCATGTCTTTCATATGCAGATGTAATGAAAAGGGAATACATTACAATTAACAAAAAATTGCAGCTGCTTAATCAATAAATATTACCTCTATCTGTTGGGCTACAGTTGCCAGCAAATCTTTCATCAGGGTATCTGACATTCCCATTATTAGAAACTCTGTGCCATTCTAGAAATTCAAGTAAAAGAATCAATTACAGAATATTCATGCACAATACAGCATAACCCATTAGGAACAACCAAGTTTTACTCTTGTAGATCCCCTTTCCTCCCAACCACTGGTTGTAACCACCTGAATCAAATTAAACCGAATACAGATCCTGAAGTGATTCTTTAGCATTTCCAAAAGATGCGAGTATCAACTATACTCTTTAGTATGAGCACTTCAGATAGGTGTATTCTACCAGTTCCTCTGACAGTGGCACAAATGACTATTCACCAACTAACCAGCCTACGTAGTTCTAGACCATGTCAAACATGCCTGAAACACAATGATACCTTAGTTTTAAAGCTAATGACACACCTACTAATTTCATTTTACATATATTTTGCCAAGTCATTTAAATTAATTAATCCCCACTGATCATTCAAAACATACATAGCTTTCAGGAAAATCCACTTGTGTGTATCAAGTATTCTTCTGCTTCTAATGGTGCTTCCATGAAGGGCTAAAATTGAAATGAAAATTATATTTTAAAGTTCAAATTGTCTCTTGCTGTGGACTAGCATCTTCTGTCACATTACTAGATCAGAAACAATCACCAAGCACTAAAAATTTATTTTCATACAACAATTCAATATTGCTCTGGAACAGTCTTCAATACCTGGCAAGTTGAAATTTTCTATGTATGAGGAAAAAAAAATTACCCTGAATTGAGTTTGGACCCTTCTGCAACCATTACAGTATCTCAAGAATCAAGACATTCAAGCTTCTATTTCAAAAATGTGAGTGGTCATGCCTTTATTCACAAGGCACTACTACTGTCTGTTCATAGTTTGCAATTACATTCAAATATGGTCATGTATGTAGATTCAAATCATCTCCAACACATGCCCAAGGCCAGACAGCTAACTCGCACTGATTTTGGAGATGTTGACAAGTGATTTCTCATGTGGGTCTTCATACTTGTTTAAATGCCACAGCAAAAGAAATTAAACTAAGAACTGACCCTAAGGCTAACCTCAACTCAGTGAAGAGTACAAAAGTCATCAAATAATCACTAATCAGTTTGATGGCATCTATGCAAATTCAACATACTCTGTTTTGTCCTACTCACCAGCCATACAAAGATGACAACCCTTTGGCACTTAACACATTCCATACTCTTGACAAAAATATTGAAACCAAGTAAGAAATTAAAGCATTTACTATCTTGGTTGCCAATAGAAATGAAGTGTTACATCTAAAGCAATAAAATTAAAAATTTCAGAGCCATTACCTTAATGCTTCTGTACAACATATGGGACACCACTGAAAGCTTCTCCATCATACCTAAAAACAAGCAATAAACAAACTTAACACTTTAAGTTAGCAGATTCTTATTAACAGACAATCATCAATAGTCTCTCAAGTCTCAGAAGCAATAATATAGTAAGTATATAAACCTTAAAATTGCAGGAGGCCTCATAGAAAGCAGCAAGAAATGCAGTCCATTTTAAGTAACAAAGAAGTTACGAGTTTCAAGCACTTGAAATCCCATATTAAAAGCATCATAGAAATAACTGCATGTTACCGCTATTAAACTTCAGTCCAAAGGATTTTTGGCAAAAATTCACCATCTCAAGGTTTCAGTCTTCTAAGTATAAGCACCAATTTCAATTGGTTTAGAGAATTCAGTTTTAACCACATAACAATTATTTAAGTCTACTAACTCAACCACAGAAACACACAAAGTATTTTTGTCATAGACAATACTTAACAATGCATGTTCCAATGTTTCTCACTCTGCACCATATAGATCAAATAAAAGTAGCAGTCCATTATAGGTAACGTTTTGTTTCAGATCACAAAAACCATTTAAGCTATAGAAAATTATGAGTGAAGGTTGCTTATTATACCCAATAACCAAGGGTTACAAATGGCTTGTAATGATTCAGAAATTTTACTGTTCAGTTGTCTAGTGCGTGACTCAGTCTATCATTAGACAAGCTAATTCAACACGGAATGAATGCACCCTACCGCTTCCTACACAAACGCGACCATCTCCTAATCTTTGCAGATAAGAGCCTAGAACAACCCTAGCTGTATTTTTTTTTATTGTACTGCCCGTTTTCCCAGAAACATTACAACTCAACATTAGTATCATGAGAAAAAAAGGCATCTTAAGGCTGCAGGACGTTGGGGGGGGTGTGTGTGGTATTACAATTTTTTTTAAAAAATCTTTCTCTGCTGTCTCATTGCCCAGCAAAAAAAAAAAAAGGAAACATCAACAGTTAAAACGTAAAAGTAGCCTCATTATTCACGTTTTAAAAAGCATGCAAAGACTGCGGTGTTTTTTCTTGGTACGATATGTGGATTTTACAGTAATTATATTTAAAAGTCTCCTGTTGGAGGGCAGTTATGGCAGTTGCATGATGACGATGGCTGAGCCCTCCGAAACACCGGCAACACAAACGCGTGCACCAACCCCTCCGCCTAACGCACAAGGCGACTCCACCTTATTCACGAAGCCTTAACCTCTCACTGAAACATCTCATTCCCACCGTGACGCTTAGGCCGACTTCATTCATCAGCCATGAGCCAGCGCCTGAAGTACCAATTTAGACGATAACCGACGGAAGGAGACGGCTGCACCCTCCTGGGCTGCTCCCACCCCCAGCAACGAGGAACCGGCGCCACCGGCGAGCAGCAGCTCTCCCTCAGGCCCCCCACAGGTACCCGCCAGGAGCCTCCCCCGGCACCACCCAGCGATCAAAATGGCGTCGGCCAAACAGCGCGCGCCTGGGCGCCGCCCGCCCCAGGGCAAAATGGCACCGCACCGCACCGCCCACGACCCATCCCGCAGCGCCCCGCGCCGCCGCTCCCGTCGGGGCCTGTAGTCCGCCCCTCCGTCCCCTCGCCGCCGTGGCGGGCCGGTTTCCGCCCGGCCTCGCCCGCCAGCGCCACACCAGCCCCCGCTCGGGGAATCAGCCCCCGCCGAGCCTCACCCGCCAACAGCGCCGCTCCGCAGGGAGAAAGAGAGAGCGAGGGGGGCGCTCGCTCCTTTTATAGAGACGCTGCGGGGTGGGAACGAGGCTGGCCCCGCCCCTCCCTGCCGCGAGCCGAGGGGCGGGGAAGCCCGCCGAGAGGGGTTGATGCCCGCCCCGCCCCGCAGCCGTTGGCGGGCTCGCGGCCGCTGACGTGTTCCCCGCCGCAGTGCGGCGGCGGCGGCGGCCCCGCTGAGGGCGGCGGTGCACGGGCGGGAGGGCATGGCTCCCCGCCGGCGGTTGGAGCCGCCCCGGGGCGGGAGGCGATGGCGGCTGTCTGCCCGTACCCGCGCTCCTCACGCCGCGGGCCTCCCGCAGCCCGGGGCAGGGGTGGGGTGGCTGCGGTGGAATCGGCCGCCCTTCGAGCGGGCAGGAGCGCAGGGCGGAGCGGGACAGGCGAGAGGGGGTTGCCCTCGCTGGCTGGGGGCGGTGTGCCCTGAGGGGCGAGAGGGAGTGAGCACCCGCGTCTGGCTTTTGATCCCGGTGATGTTCAGACATTTTGCATTACAGGGTTTTTGCATAAAACGCAGAGCTGGCAAGCGAAGGCAGGAAACTCACACAGCTCCACCTCCCAAACTTAGAAAAAGTGTTTTTCGTTGAGTACTTGTTTCTTATATCCATCTCCTGTCACTGTTCCCTAGGCCTCCAACTGGTTAATGATCTATTGGTATGCCTGAATGCTTCAACTTCCCCTATCTCTAATGAGATGTTTCTGAAACCTTAGCCACATGCACACCCTTTCCCTATTCGGAAATAGCACCCAATGCTTTATCCCTGTGTAACATTACAAGTCATCAGGGCTGCAAAATCTCCTACCCACAACTAACAAAAAAAAAAAAAAAAAAAAAAAAAAAAAAAAAAAAAAGAAAGCTTTATGCAGTTTTTCTACTCTAGAAAGTCTGGGGTTCCACAGTGAACCTAAGAGTGGGCTATCCCAACCCCAGCACAGCTTTAGCCGCTGGAAGTTGTACAGTTGTGCCTCAGCCAGAAAGTGGCTTAGTCTCCAGCTGAATTGGCCTCCTGTACTGCTGTGGAAGTGCTAGCCAAAGAGGCAGGAGCAGGTATCTGGGCTACCGTGGGGATGGCAGGAACGCTACAGCCTAGATGACATTTAAACTGATGTGAAACCACATCCTAAAAATCTCATAATGTTTATGGAGGTTCTTACTAATTGTTTATAAATAGTCTAACTTTTTTGTCTGCCTGTGTATTGAGAGGTTTAGTATATCAATCGACTTAGTTGAGGAAATAGGGAAAAACGAGGAAGGGTGAAAAGCTCAGAAAATTGTTTGGTATTTTGACAAATTGTTAATACTACAAAAACCAATGGTTCACAAGATGGACTCTCAATATAAGGGTCTAACTGTTGGGAGCGGGTAAGGGAAGTCTAGAAAAGTGAGTTCTAAAGTGCTAAAATACCTGGCAATTGTATTCATAAAATTATTGAGATTAATACTACCAGGAAAACTAAATAGTTGGCAAATTTTAAACACGTTTTCTTCTGCAGCCCATGACAGGAGATGACACTCGTTTTCTCTCTGCTTTGCTTCTTCCACATCCCATTTTACCTGTTTGAAATCTTCCTCTTGACTGCAAGTTGCAGCTGGCCCACCGCCTTTTCTGGTGTAGAGGCAGAAGGTGTAAAGGCTCCATCGTGCCTTATTCTCCGAGTGCCTCCTACCTGTGCTTACTTGAGCTGCTGTTTCAGTAGGAGAGAGTGGGAAGCTATAAGCACCCAGGAATAGTTGCTAGGGCTTCAGGCAGGCTCAGCAGCTGAACTTGGGCCCCGCACAGGCAAGCAGTTTACACTGTTGTTATCTATCCATGTGACATATTCAAAAGGCCCCAAAACTGATGTTTGCCACATGGCACTGAAAATGTTAACCCACCCTTCCTTAGTGACATCAGGGTTAAAGATAAGCAAAGTAATCACAGCCATTAATCATGACTCAATTAGCCCTAAAGAAAAAAGGCAGCTCCTTACCATTCCTTTCCTAAGTGCTAAATAATTATGTCTTTTCTACAGCAGGCTGTGGAGGGCTTTTGCGTATGTTATAGAACTTCTTTTCAGAGGGAAAAATAGACTCATAATTTAAGCCCAAAGAACATTACATAAAGCATAAATGAGTACTATTTTAGTTTGCAACTGATAATAAGAAGGCTATAAATAATGAGGTGACTAAGGGCATGTTGTGAGCTTTTCAAGAGAAGCACGGATATGCACTTGCTGCAGGTAGTCTTGAACCTTGCAATGTTCCTGCACACCAGCTTTTGTAATTTGGCAGAGGAAAGTCCTCATCGCTCTGTTAGATTGTAGGGTACAGGTTTACTACCAGTGCCTGAATGCATGCTGTATGCAAAGTTTTTATCCCCAAAGAAGTGTGCCTCATATTTCTCAGCATCACCTAAGTCTGCTAGCACAGGACAGGCTTGTGGGTCAAGTGAAGTACATCTTTATCGTAGGTAGGCAACAATTACAAGGCTGAAAAAAGTTAACCAAAACAGAATAAAAATGTACACTGCAATTGCAGATTCTATTTAAAAACAACGTTCCTTCTTAGGTGCCTTTCTTTCCCCTCCTTCAGGCTTCCACATCTTTAACCCATGTCCCAGGAGTCTGGATGAGGGTGCGAGCTGTGGAGCAATACCTGATCCTCAAACTCCACTCCCCGGAGATATCCTAAAGCTAGTCTGAACCACAAGCCTGGTTGCCATAAAGTGTTAGTTTATAGATGAATCGCTTCTGAATTTAGCTCACCACACAGCTGCACATTCATGCACAGTGTAAGCACTGGCGGAAGGGAGTGCTGGTTATGAGATAATGGGAGCATACCAGATTGCTCTTCTGAGGCCCGCACAAATGTATGCTGGCCTGAAAGGCTGGTGGTGTGGCTACCTCCAGGGCATTTCAGCTCCAGACAACTCTCTCAGTTCTCTTTTCTTGTTTTAAAAGATTTCTTTCTCTTCTTGGTCTTTCTTTTTATTTCTGTCTCCCCCCACTTCCCTTCTGTTCCTATTTTAAGTCTGGCTTCTTGGATTTTCTCCAGTAGCTTTGCAGCTTTGATGACTCACATCTCTTGGTTTGGGGTTGTTACCAGTGCATCCTTTGGGATGCTGAGTTCCCCTCCCCTCTCACCTTCCCAGCAGGAAGTCTATTGTATGCAGCTTTAATTTCTTCCTTCTCAGAACAGATAGTACTCATTGTGAAATCCTGAGCTGACTTTGCCATATTTCACGTTTTGCATCATAAAATGCATGAGTTGGGAAACAGTTTCATTTAGCTTATGATTTTGGCCCTGTTATGTTTTACAGAGACCAGAATTATTTATTTGCACTTCCTGTCAACTCGCTCTCTTTGAATATTTAGCCACTTTAGTGTCACAGAAAGACAAGCACTTTTTTCTTATGATAACATAAAAACATTAAAACTGTTGTACAGGATCAGACCAGAGGTCCACCCCCCCAGTATCCTGCCTCTACCTGTAGCCAAAAGTAAATGCCTAAGGAGGGGAATAGAGATAGAACAAGCATGTAGGGATCCTTCCATGAATATTTGCCAGCCTCTGGGAATATAAAAATTACAGACCTCTTAGAGGGTGTTTTTTTGGATTTAGGGTTTGGTTTTGTTTTGTTTGGTTTGGTTTTGTGTGTGTGTGTGTGTGTGTATGTATGTGTGAATGTAACAATCTTCCATTCATTTGCTACCCATAAATTTGTCTGGTCTTCCCCAGAGCCTTTATAAAATTATCCACAATAGCAATGGCAAGGAGTATCACAGCTTAATTAGCATTACAGGAAAATACACCTCCGTTATTTTGCTTTGTACCTGCTGTCTGTTAGCTCACTGCAGTTTTAGAAGTTGTCTGCAGTCATCCCCTCATTAAGCCTTCACCCTTCAATCTCTTCTTCAGGCTGAAGAAACCTCATTTACTTAATCATTCCTCATATGGGAATCAGTGCCTACCTTTGACCTTACTCTCATTGCTTTTCTCCAAACTCTTGGGGTTTTTTTGAGACAGGAGTCGCAGAGTACACACTGTCTTCAGGAAGCAGGTACAACATGGACTTATGCAGAGGTGTGATGATGTTCTCAATTTTCTTCTTTCTTCCCTAGCACTTCCTAAACTTTCGTTTCCTTTTTTTTTGACTATCGCTGTGCATGGAGCTGACGTTTCCACAGAACTGTCTGTTGTAACTGCAGGATCTCATATCTGAGCAATAAAGGTCAGAGCCCATCATTTTACATTTGCTGTTGTGTTTGCTTTTCTCAATGAGCAGTGCTTTATATTGATCTATGTTGAATTTCATGTGTTGCTGTTATACTCACTCAGTTTTTTTTGGGGTCCTGCAGTTACTTATGCATGAGCAATAAATGATTACTAATTTTTTTTACCCCTCTGCATGCCACCTTTTTCAGATAATTCAGTAAGTTCAACAGGTCATGCCAATTTCTGTGTGTTGTGGTTTGAGCCTGGTTGGCAGCCAACCACCACGCAGCCACTCTCTCTCCCTTCTCTTCCAGCAATAAGAAGGGACAGAGAGCCAGGCTTGGGGTTCGAGATAGGACTGGGATGGGGAAAAAATCACCCTTTATGGTCACGAGCAAAAGGCAGATTCATTAGGGGAAGAAAAAAAGAACATACATTTATTACAGACACTAACAACACATAACAGAGTAGGACAGTGAGAAGCATTGCCACATCTTGAGAACACCTTCCCCCCACCCCTCCCTTCTTCCCGGGCTCAGCTCTGCTCCCGATATCTCTACCTCCTCCCCCAGTGGCGCAGGGGCAGGGAATGGGGGGTGCAGTCAGTGCTGCCGCTTCTTCCATCTTTGGGGGGGGGAGCTTCTGGGACTTGTTCCCCCTGCTCCATCGTGGTCCCTCTCTCACAGGAGACAGTCCTCCACAAACCTTTTCTGACATGAGTGTCTGCCATGGACCTCCTTACACTGCTCCGTCGTGGGTCACCAACTTCCTCTGACTGGATTCTCTCCCAC